AGCAACATAGTTTCAAGCCGAGTCCGGGCAAGGTCGATTATACCGAACCCAAATGAGATGCCGCAGCGGCTGGCTGTGTGCGGTTATTACTTCACAGCAGTACAATAGCGACTGTTACTTCCACTAGCCAGAGACAGGGTAAACAATGATTATCAAGTGGCTGTTCTGAGGTTATATAATATGCAGTGCAGGTAGCTAGCCTTTACCTCTGCAGTAAGGTTATGATACAGAATAGTTCTATCAGATTGAGTTCCATTACTAATATGCCACCCCACACAATCCAAGGAAATGAGCGTTGAAATTATTCTCCGAATGATTAGTGGCTAGCATTTACTAACACTTAAATCAGGAGATATGCTTATAATATGCTAATTTCTGGTTAATTATCAACCTGTCTGCAGGTTGGAATGTGAGAAATGAGTATTAGTTTCCTGTTAATGAGTTTAATGAAGGAGTATTAGGAGTCGTGTGCTGACTTTCGGTATCATGTTTTCCTTTTGGCTCATTATTTCCTATTCGGGGTACTTTCTTATGACCCTATATGCAAATACCCACTGTAAATGGCTTATAATCGATAAGAAATCTGCAATCTTGCAGCGTAGCAGATGCAGCAATGCGTCTGGATATGAATCTCCTGAAATTAACATCACGTATTACCGTATGATTTAGCGAGTTTTACGAGTTACTGAAATTAAATGTCAATAAAACGAATCATTTCGTCCGGTCTTGAACGGTCTGTTAAAAGACAAAATTCAACCGACACTTTAGCATTATCGGATTCAGTGATCCTTATATAATCAAAATTTAGAGCAGCCGGGATTTCGGAAACAGAAGCAAGAAAGCGCCGATGTCAACGATGACAGATATGCTACCTAGATCAGAGTCACGTATGCTGCTTTTGCTTTGAAAGTGCGCTGAAATTCAGCGAAATCAGAAAACTTGGTCCGGTGAAAGCCGGTAGGGTTGGGTTGAGACTCGGCCGGTACTTAAGCCGGAAGATTTAGAAGATCATTCCTAGTTCCATTATATCCGTACCTCATTACGCAAGGCCAGTAATGCGAAAATAGAAACAACCTCGGAAACGGAAAGAAATGCACTGTTAAAACGTAATATTGTGTAACCCTAGAAACGGAGTGTAACCATGGCAACTAAAAGGTGACATGCCTGCAACATCGACTGCAACATCGACTGGGTTTGATCACTAGTCCACAGTCAGAATCGACGGAAATTTCGATCGAGGTTTGGCAAAAATTCCCGGCTCGGTCGTTTCCGATAGAAATCAGACCTGGAAAGGCTGCAACAATAGACTTTAAGCTATGTCAAAACATGATAGTAACGGAAATTTCACAGATCGCTCACCAGACTAATTAGTATTTATAGCCAACAACTAACAAGTCAACTTTATTTTTAGCAAGTCAAGTTTGGTTTCACTTTTCTGACCGTGGCTTTAATTAATAGTTAAAAGTTCTATAAGTCAGTAATGTTAGCCCCATGTCTTGCTACGCTTTGACCTTGTATCGACTTTAATTTGCTCTGTAAATACACTTCATAAAGCCTAATTCCTCCCAAGTATCAAAATGATCACACTGGCATAAACTCATCGAGACGTGACCTTTTCAAAATTCAAAGTATCAGCTCAAAAAAAACAATTTTCTAGAAACGAAAATACAATATTGTGCAGGATAGGGGCTTGCAAAAGAACTGCCTGTAACATAATACTAATAGTTGAAGATACGTCAAGATGTGGCAGCAACAGCAAAATCACAATCGTAACCAGTCAAGTTTAAGTTTATTTTTAGCATATCTAGTTTTCCCCGCTTTTCTGACCCAAGCTTTAAGTTAAAACTTTCGTCGGGCAGTAATTCATTTCTATTTCTGTTAGAGAGGAGAGTAAACGCAAGTTTACTCTACTAGTAGTAGTAGTAGTTTAGTTTAAAGAAGTAGTAGTTTAAAGAAACAGTATCAGTCAATTATCATAGCCTTATATTGTAAACATTTATTAAATAAATGTAACGCTTGAACTATTTTGCCGACTATGATTCGCTCTGTAAACTCAAATACTACGCATGGTTAAGCGTTGTATAATGTTACATAGTATTATAACATTGTCACTCAGCAGGTGGTATCTGTATAAACTTATGTATTCTGTGTAAAATTATCTTTATCCCGGTTACTGCGACAAATAAAAATGCTCTTATTATGAAAAGGAGTTTACTCGACGTTTCAATGTAACTACATCGTATTCATGATCTCAAATTATTTGTTATATAGTAGTGTTGAAAGTATTAAACACTACTATATAAACTTACAGAGGCAAAGATTCGAACATTTTCAAGACTGTCAATACCTGCGATGCGGTCTTTAAAGAGAACATTTCAAGCAACGTGAAAACAAGGTTTTGCAGAGTCAGCACCTCGTGCCGTATAATAGTTGCCAATTGCCATGGTAACAGCAGTACTAGTTGCCATGGAGTTACCATGGTAAAAGCAGTTACTACGAAACCCTGTGCAGTCCCAATACTCCGCAGAACTCAAACTCGCTGCTTTGCTGGAGAAATGACAGAGAGGTCTCCTCTCTGTGGGTGGTCATACAGTGGGTTGGCCCTGTTAAAGCTTCACGAATCTCAACATAGGTGACATAGGTAGGTAGATCCTGATCGGAAGCGGGAGTTATCAAAGCTTTAAAATACCTTCACGTAAAACAGACGCCAAACTGACTATTTAGTATTTATATCGTCAATACGTCTCGTGCTTGAAGCGAATGCTGCAGGGACTACATCGTGTGGAGATGACACTTGTTGAACTAGTAAATAACATCTGCTTTTCCTTCAGACCCTTAAAAGTGGAACTTTCAAACTGAGGTCCAGCTTTCAAACTAAAGTCCAGGTTTAACGACAGCCAAACGGACGATACACACTGCACCGTGCATTTAACCCTAGCTGTAGCGTCCCTTAACATCACGAAATGCAGAGACTCTCAAATAGCCGAATACGGGAGAATAGTTCGACATACAATAAATTAATAAAGCAGTAACCGTGGACGGTGTTCAATACGCGTAAGCTACGCCACTCAGTAAAATGTATTTAAAGTAGGTACTTGACGCAAGTACTGACGATCTATTCCAATTTCCAGCTCCCCGGCTCTACTTCAGCCGGTTTAACTATAAACCACACTACATCACAACAATCCGACTGATAAATAATGTTCCTATCAACTATCAGGATATGACACGGTATAAACCAACTAGAAATATAGCGTATTTACTCACTTAAACCGGTATATATCAATAAATATATAAATAAAGAGCCGCAAGCGGACGAGATAATATACTCTTGACGACTGGTGTATTCCAGCAGCAGTAGTTGTAGTACTCTACTAAAACAATTATTTGAAAATAAAACGTCACAATCTAGCAATATTATACCACTGGTAATATACTTCAGTGTGGGTTTGAGGAGGTTTCAAGTGCCGGAGGTCACTGCTTATCGTTGGATTTGAGAGCGACCTGTGCTTGAAACCAGCTCAACCGTCCACTATGTCAATAAGCAGCACTGAAGACAGCAGTAGTATAAAAAGCACTATAACTAGTATTATAGTTGTTGTACTAGTAGTAGTAGCAGGTGTAGCTGGTAACCGGTTAATGTGGCCACATTACTGGACCTGTAGCGTTATACTCATTACTCCTTAACAAGGTGACAAGTCTGGGAGGGTGAAGTCGAGGTGAAGTAGCCCTCTTCTGCTCTTCCTCACGGTCACCTCAGTAACTACGTGCTAGGAGCAAGGAGGCAGGTGAGTGGTGCTGGAAAAGAGGTTGAGGTGAATGTTGAGGTGTGCGGGGAAGTGGGGTAGGAATGGAGTAATTCTGTCAAATTAGAGATTGGGGAACTTGGTCAGCGTGATGGCAATATAATTTTAGCAGTATTAAGTCACTTTTCCTGGCAGAGGCAGTATTAGAGTATTAGAGCTGCTGTACGTATGATTTGAGTCTAGCCAGAATACAAAACTATGTAAAGATATTATACTTATAGCCCGCTTTACAGTGCCAAGCTAGATTAACTAGCCCTGAGTTGAGTCTAATTCTCTAGCAAGGACTGAGTATTGACCAATACCATCAAATAGTCTGCATTCCATTCGAGTGGAGAGGTCTAGTAGGCATAATTTCAGAGTTTAACTGCGGAGAAATCAGGTCACAGTTTTGTGAACTGATTTCTTTGCATAATTTTAGAGTTTTACTGCGGAGAAATTGTTGAATACAAGAGAGATCACTGTACTGTGAAATGATGGATTTAGACTGCCACACTTTGTTTCTACAGGTACTCACATGTGAAATAAGCACGTACACAGACTGTTACAACTATTTCAAAAACCAGTACCTGGTACCAGATCCTTAGTCAGTAAACCATGACATGACACAAAAATTTATAATCCCCAACTATGCAGAGACAAAACGAGAGAAAACAATTTTAATTTTTAATGGCTTATAACGCGACGATAGAAATCATTGACCAGTCAGCCAAGCCCTTGTCTGTATGAGGTGTGATAATTGAGCTAACAAAGAGATTCCATGCCTCTTCAAGACTATTGAAGTAGTGACCAACAGAATCTGTGGGAAGATTTTTGCGAAATGACCGCATAAAAAGCTCTGTATAAGCTGTTGACCACCATTCACCAAATGTATGAGTTATAGTTCGGTTGAAATTAATGGTTATCTGGTTTTCATTAAATTTCATAAGCAGTATCGTGCATAAATACTAAATAGTGTACAAATCTTGATACACAATGCAACGATATAAATCGAGCAAGCTCGTCATATAACTTTAAAAGTATAAAAACTATCGCTAGCTCAGTAAGCATAGCTCACTGCAGAATGAAACGCAGGAAATATTTGTGAAGGAGCAGTACCCACTACTCGACATTTAGGGTGTACGTGGGGGTTTAATTATTCGGGGCTGGGGTTAGTCTAGATACGTCGGGCGACTTCAAGAAAAACACAAAGGGTTTTAACTTATAACGTACAAAAGTATTATGTATCTCGTACAAACATATGACATAAAAGTTAAATCTGGGTGTGTCGTGATTGAATGCTTACAGTTTCAGCTTGCATGCTGCACAAGGGAAATCCCAATTAGAAAAACTAAAATGTCACAGCCCAGACTTTGAGAGCCCAACAAACTGTTTTTACACAGTGCAGATTGCAGAAACCCGATTAGAAATACTAACATGAAACATTCAACGGCACGACAAATATACTTTTTATCCCAAGTCCTTAGCCATTAACTAGTCATTAACTTGTCTACCGCTTACACTTTACTATACTACTAAAGTATTGAACTACTGATTTATTAGTCTCATATACATGGAGTCTAAAGCTCCATGCTCCGTCTTAAATTTCACGTCTGGTAACGAAGTGCACGTCAGGGTTCCCGGTTCAAATTATCTGCTCCTTCACTCATATCTTCATGTTCTGTTTCTTTTACCTGCATCAATGCCTCATGAGATAAAGTCAAGGACTGGTCACACATTTCAAGGACTGGTCGCATATTTTAGTTGCTAAGTTGCCAAGTTGGGTCCCTCCTACAATTCTTACTATACTATATTTATAACGTAAATATACGAAGAATTCACCTATATTTGTGCTGTCTTACTATGTGTCCAAACCAAATTGATATTTATAACTTATAGTGTTTCATATGAAGTAAATTCAACTTCAACTTTACACTCGTTATCCCCCGTTCTTTTGCATCATAGGAACAGTCTTGGTCATGGCCCCTTTCTGTTTTAGAGTTAGGGTCCTCTTTTTCTCGTATTGTTTGTTGAAAGTGCTGACAATGATTGTAAGGGGGAGAGCTAGGAACACCATGCTGACCCAGATGAAGAAAGTTGCGAAGATCTTGCCCACGAAGGACTCTGGATATATATCACCGTACCTGAAACAAACCACGTGTTAGGCGTTGTCATGGTGACAAACCACGAGTTAACCATGTGTTAGGCACTGTGGTGGGAGATTATCTCATGTTGAAGCTGTAGTGAAGCGTATAAAGCTTATTAATTTATTTCTATTAATGCCACCTATTAACTTAATTAAGGGATGGTGAAAAGGCTAGCCCCTAAATTTGTGTATTTAACGTCGTGGATCACAGTAATCGTGGTGGATGATAGACAATCTAATAATTTAAACTATCTTAATTTAATTTATAAAGCAATTAAAAAGTCATAAAAGACGCGTAAGTGTTAGACACGTTCATTACCTATTAACTTAAACAAGTGATGGCGGTAAATATAATCTACAAGCTATTATAGGTAATATGGGTCACGTGATTCACACGTGGGCAGGTGATGATAGTCACGTGGGCAGGTGATGATAGACACGTGAGAATTAGTGAGAGGTCTGAGTGAATGAGTGATTGAAGTGCTCTAACTAGACTAGTAGTTACCGTAGTTACGAGACTAGTTACCGTGGTAACTATCGTTACTTACCCGACAGTGCTCATGGTAACGATAGCCCACCACATACCATCCACCCCACTAGTAATGAGGTTACTTTCACTGCCTTCCTCCAGGTAGTAAAACACGACTCCAGCAACTGTAATGTTCATAGCCCAGACTATAACCAACATGGCCAACTCACTGACACTCTTCATCAGCACCTCCGCAATCAATTGCAAGCGTTTGTTCTTCTTTATCAGCTTCAACACTCGTGCTACACGTGCAATTCTGAGTACTTTCATGGACTCCAGTTTGGAGAAGTCGACTAAGAGCTCTATGTAAAAGGGGGCGATGGTGCATATATCGAGCCAACTAGCGGGGGACTTGAAGAACTCAAGCCTGGAAGGGTGAGCAAAAGCTCTTATAAGTACATCAAAAGTGAAGAAGACAACAGTTGCAGTTTCCAGAGCAAAGAAAAGCTTGCTTTCCATTGAGCCTGGGATATCTGAGACGGCGTGAATGTGAGGGATAGTCTCCACTAACATGGTTGCTATGGAGAGCAGAATAAACAACAGATCCGCCCACCCGTACACTTTGCCTATCAGATAAGTACTGGGATCTTCCAGCGTGTTGTGTATTTCACCCCTGATACTCGCGTATTTGCTCTTCTTCTTGATGGTATGTTCTCCTCCCTCCATCAGTTCCTGAGCATCAAACACGCTCATGATCTTGAAGAACTCCACGTTGTCATGGTGAAGTGGGGCAGGCACGTTAGGATGTGGGTATAGCTTGCCGTACAGGTAGAAATCAAAGATGCTCTCGAACGCGTCCCGGTGAGTGTCAAAGAAATACTCGTTATACCTGGGAGAGTAAGCATTTAGAAGAGATCAATGAAGAACACTAGTAATCGCGGTTACCTAGAACTAATTGCCCGTTTTAGTTTTTTTCTTTTTAATGTAGAAGCAGGACAATTTATCTTTTACCTGGGGTCCCAATAGTTCTCAATCTCGCCGGATCCCAACAGAGTTGTTGGGTACTGTTCCAGATAGCACCTGGAATTAAGGAGGTGTTTAACATAACCATATAAGGTAATATCACCATAGTATCACTACCATATAAGGTAATATTACCATAATAACACTAGTACTACAATATAAACCTGTACCTTTCTATACCGAAGGGTCTACAATAAAACCTGTCTATAATGAAGGGTCTCCCGGACACATTGATAGTAATGAGGTTGTCTCTAATAGCACTCTTAGGTCCGGCTTGGTATAACTTCTTGGTCAGAAGGGGTATCTTATCCACACACAGGATGTTATCTTTCATCTGCTCCTCAGTGCTGTGGTCTGAAAGTAGGGGGTTGTTGGAGAGTAAGATGATGTTTTGGTGTGAAAATAAACGGTTTGTTAAAAGAGAGTCACCTCATTTTCGTGAAGTATCATAGCTTTATTGGGTATTCACTATTTTCCTTTCATTCAAAGACAAGTAAAGTGAAACAGATTGTTCGTCACTGATTTTATGAAACGTAAAGTTGTTCTCCTATGGTTTTAACAGTTAGAGACTCGAGTACTCTGTGATACTGTTCAGAGTTTCCATGACAACTCAGTGATACTGTTCAGAGTTGTCATGACAACTCAGTGATACTGTTCAGAGTTGTCATGACAACTCATTACTCAGTGATACTGTTCAGAGTTGTCATGACAACTCAGTGATACTGAATTTAACGTTCTCCATTCCTGATTGTACGGTTAGAGACTCAAGTACTCAGTGATACTGTTCAGAGTTGTCATGACAACTCAGTGATACTGTTCAGAGTTGTCATAACAACTCAGTGATACTGTTCAGAGTTGTCATGACAACTCAGTGATACTAACAACTCTGAGCAGAGCATTATGTCTCCTCAGAATATTCTATATAACAAGAAAGTTATATTCAGCAACACTTGAATTAACTTATAATACCATACGTTTATTTATTAATGTTATAGTCCTGTTTTTACTATTTAAAACTTGCAATAAGTGGACTGTCAACAATTAATAACTCCTTGTGGTAAATATAGTCATTGTTGTGTTCGGTCAGTACACACTAACCCGCTGTAAGTTTGCATACGATTGTATAACGTTATAGAAAAAATTGGTATTTATTCAAAATATTTAAAAGATGCCAACGTTTTTACTTAAATCATTAATTAAAGCAGCCTATTATCCTTAATACTTACTTTGGTATACGGGTGATATCCCGTACATTGTACATATAAATCGTCTACTTCCCCTTATTAAAAGTTAAAACTAAAGATCTTGAGTGAATTTTTAATGAAAAGTATGGAGCGTGACAACTTTAATTCTTGAAAGATGTCTGATTGTCGTAGAGTAAGGATAGGACAATATGTAAGTTTTTACTGTAACTTTGTAAAGTACAGAATTATGACATGGTAGTACATTTAGCATTTCAGAGTCAATCAAAGCGTGACTCTAGCATAGAGAAGTAGAAAAGATTTGTAGTGAATCTCTGCAAAGTGCTTAATATGACTATTACGTAGAGCTAAAACAAAGAATAAGTGTTGAGGTGAAAGTTGTAACAACCTGCAACCTGCAACCTGCAACCTCTACAGAACAGGACGCTTTATAAACCTGCCCCTTCTCCAATTCAGCATCATAATCTGAATCCAGCCTTTACTAAAACTATACCTAGTAGAAATGAAGCTCGTTCTTATCCTTGCCCTGTTTGGTGCCTCGCTGGCAAAGGAATCCTGTCTGAAAGCTGTCCTGCGATCTCCCAAAGAAACCCTGAAGCTGTATGACAACTTCAAGGTAGAGCAACACCTCGCGTTCAACCAGGTGGAGGATAGACTGAGGTTCCGACTTTAATTCCGGGAGAACGATGAGATGGTAGCAGATGCGAACTCTGTGGACGAAGAAACTGCCGTGTTTGCAGCTGAACTTCTTTTCTACAATGACTGAATCGGAGCAGATCTCATACAGAGGTCTGTAACAGGACACAACAAGAACGCTAAACCTGTTTTGACGAGCAGTGGAGAAGCTGATGCACCTGCAAGCAAACTCTGGACAGATGAAGGAAAGGTCACGGAAGTTTATAATAACGGGAGCTGCGGATCTTGCTGGACCTGGGGAGCTGTTGGTGGACTGGAGACGAGATATGCTGTGGAATCTGGTGTCCTGAGGAAGTTCGCTGAGCAGGAGTACTTGGACTGTGTGTACGAGGGATCTAGAGACAGTTGCAACGGTGGATGGCCTGATGAATGCTACGAGTACTCAGCCAGTAACGGGGAAAGACTGGCTGGCAAAGCTGACTACCCTTACACAGAGAGAGACGGCGTCTGTCAAGGCTCCAGAACCCCAGAACCCCAGACGCTATGATAGCTGCTAAAATCAGAGGAGCAGTGAAAGTAGGAGGCACTGGATAAGCTAACATCGAAGCTCTGGCTTCGGGTTCTGTCTCTGTGGCCTTTGAAGTGACATACAGCTTCCAGTTTTACTTTAGCGGCATCCTCAGGGACGAAACATGCACAGGTTGGCCCAACCATCCTGTCACAGCTGTCGGTTACACTGAGGATTACGTACTGGTTAAGAACTCCTGGGGATCCAGCTGGGCAGACAAAGGATTGTTAAGTTCGCAAGAAATCACCACAACTGTAACCTATGGGAGTACAGCAGCTACCCTAAACTTGCCTCAACTGGTTCCTCTGATACCGGAGGGTTATAACAGAGCAGCTGACTATAACGCGGATGGTGATGGGAGTGGTCCTGCTCCAGATCAAGACTGCGAGGACTCCTACACGGAAACTTGTCAAGAGTGGTGGTGCACACTGCACATACGAGCATATTGTTAAGGGCTACTGCCAGAAGACTTGTGGAAACTGCGATGGCAGCTGTAAGGGGTGTCCTTCCGGCACCATCAAGTGCTCTGACGGAGTCTACAGGCATGAACACATGTGTCGTTAGAATCGCATAATAACCTTCTTTGTATTAATGTTCTTACTTCATTAATTTATTGATCCAAGAAGGCTTGAAATAAGATTTTAAATTAAATAAAGCTGTGATGATTTTCACTTTTTGCCAATTAGAACGGTATTGAATCATAACAGCTGTACTTTAAATTCAACTACGATTAAAAAAATTTAACTACGATGTTGTCAAATCTGGCTAAATATTTAAAGATAGAAGACGATCGAGTTTAAAAATGGAAAATTAAATTCACTGATCTCGCCTAAGAAAATACTGACATTGGCACTCTGGCAGTAAGACTAAAAACAAGCATTAAGAAATATAACAGCCGCCTTCATCGTGAACAGCAATAAAACATAAATCTGGCCTTAAATACGACCGAACTTTAGGCCGGTCTTCAGTCTGAACCAACCCTGATCTCCGTCCTCCAACCCTCAATGTCTTGTTAAACATTCTACGTATGCATGGTACGGATATCCAACTTGAATTTTGAATTATTGACATCGCATTTAATGTTATTGGCATTAGCAGTGAGTCTTCAGACTCACTGTCCTCAGAAATAGGACAACCTTCTCGATTTTGAACAGCAATGAAACATAAATATCTGGGTTTAAGGCCTTGAGTACGACCAAACTTTAGGCTGGTCTTCAGTCTTGACGGGGTCTCAGGCCATCAATTCTTTGTTAAACTTTCTACGTGCATGGTACGGAGAGGATATCTACTGAGTTTAACAGAGTAACAGGTTATCCCTTATTGGCATATCCAACTTGAATTTAAAGTTATCGATATTACATGTTAACTTTCAAGTTATCGTTGTTATTGCATTTAAAGTTATCGATATTGTAATTAAAGTTATCGATATCGCATTGAAAGTTATGGAAGTTGTATTTAGAAGTTCAACTTTTAAGTGGTATGGAGCTGTGGTCATTATATTTTGTAATTCGGAAAGACACCCAAAGTTTGATTTCAACATTATAAAGCTTTTTAATATTTATGTCTGTCTAATGTCTAGCAGCCTTATTAATTCGAGCTAACCTGAGCACACGGACATAAAGGACGCCATCACTGGGGTGAGGGGGAGTCTGGATTTTTAAACCTCTAACTGTTACTGCCTTGTACTTGTAGACGTCTAGTGGCCACCAGCGATATGGAGGGTTTTTTAAAGCAACTTAATAACGAACAGAAGTGTAAATATCAAGTCTGGTACCTGGTGATGTAGTGTAAATTGGAATATGAGCAATTTTAAGTGCGCTTACTACTTTAATATTAGGTGCAAATTGCAATAACCGAGTTTACGAGTAATTGTTATTGTTACTTTATTTTATTGATCCAGGAAGGCAATAAATATCATCATTAAACCGTAACTGAGTGATAACTGTACTTAGAAATTATATGTTACGCTTCAAAATCTACAAACAAATTTAAAGGCAGAACACGGGTTTATGTTTAAAAGCTGGACAGCTCGGTAGAAAGCCCGGACGGAATTACACCGTGGAATTCAACGGCGCTGTGTCGGACTTTTTCGTACTATTAGTACGCCCCGTTGGATACATAATTGATAGCTTTTCTTGATATTGCTCTATAATTACATTTATATCTCTCCCGGCCATTGGTTCCGAGATTTGGTTGATCTTTGTTTTCTTGGGCGCCCTCCTTGAAGTCTTGTTGTTGTACATACATCTCCTGATTTATCCTGTATTTACCTGTTTATTTCATTTTCTGGCGTGAGCTGTCCGCCATGCTACGGTACGAGAAACAGCGGCAGTGCAAGATCCGGTTCTAAGAGATTTTTATGGTCGCGAAGAATCTCGCCAGGCTACACTGCGTCGGTGGGAGAACTATTTAGGTTCATGACATCTAACGCCCGCCCAATCATGGCAGCCCCATGACAATAGGTTGATGTCCGACCCGTTGTCCTTGGCCTATCTCGAGTCGTTGGGTCTAGGCGGAAACGCCGAAAGGGATGATGTTACCTTCTTGACTTAAACGTAATGGTAAATTTTTCTCAAAATCCTTGAATAAATGGGTAACCCCTAGTAATGTCTTTTCTAGCACTTTTAGATGTTGCAATGGTAGAGGTTGTCTCACTTGCAACAGTTTTAATCCTTTTAATACATTTAGGAGCAGTACTTTTAATAATGATTTTATCTTTGGACATACAAATTTTATATTTAATTGTAAAACTAATAATGTTATTTATGTTATTTATGTTATTACCTGTTCTACCTGTAAAAAACAATATGTTGGAGAAACAACTCAACCACTTCATAAAAGAGTCAATGGCCACAGAAATTGTGTCAAAGCCAAATCATCCACATTTTTATATGAACATTTTAATATTCCTGGTCACGTCTTCTCAGATGCTTCCATACAGATTGTAGATTATGTTGATTCTGACATGTCCACTGATGTCAAAAATGATTTACTTCTCCTGGAGGATTACTGGATAGAGAAGCTTGGGACAGCATTCCCTCTTGGTCTTAATGACAAGAAGAAAGGAACGGGCAACATCTCCCAAGATCGGGTTATGAATTATTTTAGTGGACAGATTGCTCGATACAAACGTGGCAGAGGGAATGGAAAGAAGAAAGTTCAGCCTAAGAAGTCTCTGGATACCATAGAGTCTGATATTAACAGGCTGAAAGATAACATCTCTTCAGAACATTCCATATACAAAACATTAAAATGTTATAGCTTATCAGATTTAGACACTCTCTACTCTTTGAGTCAATATAATTCAGGATTGATTTACAACGTATGTTCCTCTTTCTGTTCAACATTTTCCCCCAAATACCATCAGAACAAATCTGAATCCAGTAATAGAGAATTTATAATTGTTCCATTTAATTGCAAATTCATTGATAATCTTAACCTAAAATCTATTTTCTCTGACACTTCAGTCATTGATTTGCTTCCCATTTTGATTCAGTCTTTTACACCATTACAGATTTATTATGAGTATAATGATCCTATAAGTCTTTCTATTTGTAACTATGCTTCATTCTTAAAGAAACTTTCTATTTCTGATATTAAATCTATTTTAGGTAGTCCATGCGATTGTCACTCCTCCCCTTTCAATTATCCTCCTCATGGACATGTAGTTACTGGTAATTTAGATATTGTTGATAATGTTGAACTTAGGGAAGTACTTTCCTACGGTTGTAAATACAGAATTCCCACATTTAAATCTCCAGATGAGATATATATGTCAGTTACCGAAGCTGTCGATAAATTTATAAAATCAAAAAGTAGTAAGTACTGTCAAAAAGAAGTAAAGTTCAGCGATTGGAAGGAAAAAGTGTTATCAATAGTTTCCAATCGTATTGAATATTACAAGAAAAACTTTCCTGAAACATTTGAAATAAAAGAAAACTCAAAACACACTGGAAAAAGATGATGTTAAAAGAAGTCTTAAATTGCTGAAAAGTAAATACATTATTTGTAGTATCGACAAAGCTTCTGGTAATTTTTCATTTATTTGTAAAAAGTTTTATGTAAAAACTCTTGTCAATGAAATGGGTTTTGATCCTAATACTCTAGAATGTATAGGTAATGATACATATAAACCCTGTAGCGAAGACGAGACTCATTATGTCAATAAAATATCTGAGAGTCTAAAGGAGAGATTTAATGTACAAGTTGAAGATAAAAACTTGCGACTAGCACGCATCTTCTGGAACCCTAAGCTTCATAAGAACCCTTACAAGGCGAGGTTCATTGCAGGTGCCCGTTTTTGCGTTACGAAACAACTTAACGTCCAAGTTAACTGTTGTCTGAAACTTTTGAGGAAATACTTCAAGAAATACTGCGAGGCAATCTACAACAACAGCGGTATAAACATGTTTTGGAGCATAGATTCCTCAAGTGAATTCCTTGAAGCTATCAAAAATAGCGATGTTTATAATATACAAGTATATGATTTTACTACTCTTTATACCAGATTAGACTTGATTGAAGTAGAGAATATGATTAATGAAGTTGTTGATTTAATATTTTCAGACCGTAATAGATATATTTGTATTTCTAAAAGAGACAGTAATACATGTTTCTTTTCCAATAAAACCTATGATTGTCATGCCTGCTTTAGTCAAGATGACCTAAAAGAGGCTGTTAAATTTATTATTTATAACACTTATGTCGTCTTCGGTGGGATTGTATTCATACAAACCAAGGGTATTCCTATGGGTGGAAATTCAAGTTCCCCTATAGCTGATCTCACTGTTGGCAAAAAGGAATTTAATTATATGAAACGTTTACTTCAGGAAAAGAAAATGGGATTAGCAAAGATATTATCCAATAATAAACGATATGTTGACGATTTATCTATTATTAACTACCTTTACTTTCATAAATTGATTAAAGATATTTATCCTAATTCATTGGAGATGGAGCGAGCTGGTTCCAATAATAAAATCATTAACTACCTTGATTTAAATATTAATATTTCCACAGAAGGACTAGAAATATCAGTGTATAACAAAACTGATGATTTTAATTTTCATGTTGTATCCCTTACATTTCCTCACAGTAACATCCCAACCGAGGTTGGCTACAACGTTTTTTCAAGTCAAGTTCTTAGATATGGTAATGTTTGCACTAGATTGGATATCTTTACCTCCCATCTTCACAAAATATTAAAAATTCTAATTGATAGAGGATATAGCCGTGATAGACTGATTAAAGGCATTAAACGTTGTCTGAGGAAATATGATAACGTTTTCAGGAAAGTCGGTATTCTAGATGACCGTAACATTATTAAAGAACTCCCCTGATATCTTTTGATTTATTGAAACACGGGTACTAACTCTGCTAAACTGAACAAATTCTGAAACTTAGGTGAATAAGTGTACAACGTGCTAAACCGAAGTTCAGACTGACCAGTGAAAATGGGCGAGCGTACCAAGTGTCATTTTAATTAGAAGTTTTAGTCAGTGATTTATTATTGAAGCTTGTAATTACAATATCTAATGCTCCTATAAATACTTTAATTAATTGTTTTTCCCGTTATTCTTTTTCCTTCCTCTTTTCCTTGTCATCCCCTTTAGTTTTAAGATTCTTGCTATAAATGGCTACAGCTAACACTATTAATGCTAAGTACCAAACAACAAGTGGGAGGTGGATCGTTGGTACCATTAAATCGATTTAACACCGCAATTCCAGTCGCAAGCCTGGGACAACTACTAGCATAGTCACAACATCTACAAAGCTGCCATATAGCCTGACTGACAATTTTCTCGACTGACTGACAATGTTTCTTCTTTTTCCCCATTTAGAATACAAAGATTAGTACATTTTAGCTTATGATTAATATTATATTTTTACCTATAGTTTACTTAGATTAGTAGAACCCTCCTTTTATTGTTACATACACATAATAATTCCGCAGTAATTAGATCTTATAAAGTGTATTAATATGTACTTAACATAAGTATTAAATGGTTCACCAGGTTGTTTTATGTTACCCACAATTTCAACATCGACTGTGCGAGATGCTTTCCATTTATGTCAGTCATTCATAACTCCAAAAGGCACTCACGTCCCAACTGGGTACATATTATCACGAAATCGCTTCCTTTTTGATAATTTAAGGGGGCCATGACTTTGAAGGCCTGAAGGGCCTAATGAAAAAGTGTCGCCGGTATGTTGTCGAGTTAACCTTCCTAATAGTTCCGCAGTAATTGGATCTTATAAAGTGTAAAATGTTAAATTTTCCACTATCTACGTATTAAGGCAACGAAGGTGGTTGATAATATCTGGTATAAATCGATAGAATATTTTTTCTTGGTTTGCTACAAGACAACAATTTGAGTATCCCACAAACCGATTAGTAATTAACAAATTATCTAACTCTAAGCAGAACTCAGTTAAATCAAGTTTGTAAGAAGCCATGGAATTGTTGAGTACTTCCATTTATATGATTTTATTTATATGATAACTTAATGATTATGCAGTTGCATGCGAGTACTTCACTGGTTTTGTAAAACATTATTTGTTACTGTTGTTCTATGCATGACACTGTGGCAACGTGTTTATAAACTTTAAACAAGATACATGCTGTTTCTCTAAACTGTATGCTAAAGTTTACGATTATCTTCACCATTGTTAGCCACAGGTGTCAGATTCACATTTTCTGAACTCAATTTTCCGTCATAATCACCTCTCCCACAACTACACCATGTGGGGCTATAATCATTATCATCATTTTGTATATTTCCTGAGAAAGTGCATTATCATAACCATCATGTTTTATATTTCCTGAGAAAGACAGTCATGCAGTTACTTAATTTCAAGCATTTATTGAATTTAAAAAGTTGAAGGTATCAAAAGTCTCAAGAATCCATGAATATGCTATACTGGAAATTGAAATGAATGACGAAGAATGTTTATATATTTACGTAAAACACACCGTATGATATGATTTATATTTATTATTATTATGATTTATATCAAAGTTTTAAATCTGAGTAGTGCCTGGAATGATACTATGGTGGCCATAACAACAAACAAAATTCAGAAGTTGCCAATAGACCTTAGAGCTACCAATAACTTTTTACAGTTGTGGAACACAACAAGAAAATTTAAAATAATCTTGTGCGTTTCTAACCGAAATTAACTTTAAGGAGGCTTCTGAATTTTGAAACAACCATTTAAATATACAATCCTTCCATTGAACTCAATCAATATAGCAATATCTGTCAAATAATATATTATATAATAATATAGCAAATCTCCTAAATCATCTAAACGAAGACCCTAGACTTTAAATCTGAGCTGATAGATTAAAATGAAAGTTATCCGCTCACCATTGGCTCGACCCCCATGCATTTCTCCGTCCTTTCTGTTTCCCTTTCTGTTTCTGTTTCTGTTTCTGTTTCTGTTTCTGTTTCTGTTTCTGTTTCTGTTTCTGTTTCTGTTTCTTCTTCCTTCTCCCTAGTTTTCAGTTCTTTAGATACCTCCTTTTTCTGTAGGCTGATTACTCTCTTTATTCATGCTACAAGATTGAAACATGGTTTAAAGTTTTAATACTTTCAACGCAACTATGTAATAAATAATTTGAGCTGATCATTATGTAGTATGTAATCAGGGCGACAAGCTTGAAACTGACTGGAAGGGGTTCGTAATCCGGAATCCCCAGCATAGCAAACCTATTTTTCATTTGTTGATGTTCTAAAACATCCTGTGGGTAAGTAAGAATACTCCGAGTTACAAACGGTAAACAGTGCATGCACGCTTTATGTGATATTAGTGATACTTAGTGATACTCAATGATGCTTAGTGGTTTCGTGGATGTGCCAAAAAAGGAAACTGAAACAAATGTATTATATAAAAATATAACAACTGAATCGGATATCAAACCATGCTAAGAGAGACTGAGATCTCATTTGCGGCATACGATGGTCAAACGTCAGAATTGTACCGGAGGATTAAGGAAGAAAACGCTATTTAAATATGTACTTAACATAAGTATTTAACGGTTCACCAGGTTGTTTTATGTTACCCACAATTTCAACATCAACTGTGCGAGATGCTTTCCATTTATGTCCCAATTGTGGGATCTGTCAAATTTTAGGTTAAAACTGGATCCTGAAGACACACTGAAAGGCGACGGTCTAGCTTGCCAACACTGTGAAAAGGAAGCAAGCTATTAAAAAGTATAAAGTTAATTTCCGTCATGGCCTGATAAGGAACTGTTTATCATATCAACTGATATCTTGTTATTACGGATATAATCGAACGAGAAGAAGGATAGTTTGTTAGGAGAACAATTGTCTAAGCCAATATCAGAGTTTATACTAGTACTTAGACCCATAAAGAGGGCCTGAAATTAAATATTAGATCTCATAATATTTCAAGCAAGTGGCTGATTTATGGCAATTAAGCTCATTTATTATAAAATATGTTGCGCATATTTCGATATCGATATCGATCATAGATTTAGAGGCGGTTGAATAACCTTAATTAAATTAACAATTACCGCTCCAAAAGTCTATATTCTAGTTGGAACTAAGTACTAGAGGAAACTAAGTACTAGAGGAAACTAAGTACTAGAGGAAACTAAGTACTAGAGGAAACTAAGTACTAGAGGAAACTAAGTACTAGAGGAAACTAAGTACTAGAGGAAACTAAGTACTAGAGGAAACTAAGTACTAGAGGAAACTAAGTACTAGAGGAAACTAAGTACTAGAGGAAACTAAGTACTAGAGGAAACTAAGTACTAGAGGAAACTAAGTACTAGAGGAAACTAAGTACTAGAGGAAACTAAGTACTAGAGGAAACTAAGTACTAGAGGAAACTAAGTACTAGAGGAAACTAAGTACTAGAGGAAACTAAGTACTAGAGGAAACTAAGTACTAGAGGAAACTAAGTACTTTAATTATTATAAAGGGTACCTGATGGATCGTTGCTTAAGGAGGATACTTATGATAAGATGGCTGGGCCGGGTTAGAAACAGTGCTGGAGCGTGCAAGGTGACATCAAATGGAGACGTACATAGGAGTAAAGTACAAGTACCTACTAAAGGGTCAGGATGTTTACACGAGCGGGGGGTCGTGAATGAAATTACAGAGAAAGAAAGATGGGATCTAACGAATGACGAAATGGAATGTATGTGTAGTTCCCACTGCTGTGATCTAGTTATAATACTCTTTAACGGGGTAATGACATAATGGCATATCTCAGAGTCATCATTAATGATACAGATAGCATATTATTATCGCATTCAGGGCCGAAAATCCCATTTTGCACTTGTACAGGGATAGGGGGCGAAGCCCTCCGAAAATGTTGTGCCGTACTTAGTGTTCTGGAATGAATTTGGGCGATAGATAATCACAAATTAGCAGATTGTTTTTATGAAGCTGAGTACCCTTGTACTAAAGATTAATGAGTACATGAAACATACTTCATGTTGAGATGTTGATTTAGTAGGGTAGTTTGTGTAATCCTCCCATTTTCCACAAATAGCATGATTCATCGGATTCAAACGTGAATAGTTAGGATGAAGTTCCTAATTGGACTACATCACTCAATACTGTTAATTTTGAGACTTCAAAGACGTTAAAAAATGTGACAATATTGTGAATTGTGATCTAGGTATCTGGTATACTTATAGTGTTCCACACTCAACCCCCACTTAAGCGTTTATCTATGACACACCCCACAACACTTACCATCATCCTTGATTACACATCTTGATTCCACCGGCATCCTCCCACAAGACTGCCATACCCCAGAGGTAGGCAAAGCATTGTGGAGACAGCATTAATGATACTAGATATCTGTATCACAGAATAAAGCTGATATTAGGTTTGTAATAGGTTTGTTAAACGCCTCAGGATCAGTGGCGTAACATTGCAAGTTGGCGCCCCCCCCATCCCCCTTTATGGAGACATCCTGCCTACGACCGATCCAAATTTGGTCTGTAACAAGTTTCGTGACAGCACTTAACACATGAGCAAATTTATCAAGTTCCAATCCAATGTCTTCTTGTCGAGGAAGGTCTTAGGAGGTCGTCACTCGTCAGGCGGCCTCCGATAACAATGGCCATCAGATGGTTGCCCGAGACAGAGAAACATAGAACAACCCTTATATCATTTTGTGATATTTGTCATCCTCTAAGACTCTACTTCTCTAGGTTCGCCCTGAGAGTTTATCTGATCCGATAATATGTTCCATGGAAATCATCCCTAGACCCTAAGTGGTGCGTAATCATCAATTTGTGCTCGCTGAATCATTTAAGAAAGCAGTTTCGTCTTGATCTTGCAGGGTCATGTCTCAGAATACCGAACCATCACAATATCTACACTATATGGAAACACATTTATTACTTTTGGCTGACTATTATAAACACTATTTAAAGATGTAAACTGTTAGATGGAGTCTTGTTAGGCAGGAGCCTCTCCTAAATTGAAAGTCTTACTACGCCTACAGACCTCTCTTAACAGTGTTAAAATTGTCGTGAAACTCTTGCAGTTTGCCATTTGCGTCTAAATCATACCTTTGCGTTAGCTTTCATATCACTACATTTGCGTCTAAAGAAGACTTAGCATCAGCTCGTTTGGGTCAGAAAGTGTTACTATAGCAACAGTTTTGAAGAGGCTGGCTTTATAACTTTATCAGACCGGAGAGTTTAACGGAAAGATATTTAGATTTAAGAGTTTTCAAGCTGAAATATACATTATAAAATAAGATAACACTTGTTATATTATCACCACTGACAACAACAACACTACACTAGAGGAAAGATCATTCAAGCTTGTAAATATCTATCAACCTATACCAACACACACATCATCATATGGTCAGACAGTCTCTCCTCTATTCAAGCTATATCCTCGCCCTCAACGAGGAGTAGAACTACTAGAGACTGTTACGACACCCTCAATACACTCGGATCCACTAACACCTTAGAGATCAAATGGATAGCAGCACACATCGGATTGTGGGGTAATGAAAAAGCAGACGAGCTGGCCAAAAATGGCAGAACCAGTGAATCCACTTTGAATTGCCCAATTCCACAATCTTACATCAAACGCCTGATCAACGACAAAGTCACCAAACTTAATCAAGAATCATGGATTACTGATGGTCCCAGACACACTAAACTGACACTTGGACACAAAAATATCAACATCATCAAAAATCTCAACACTACAATCAGTAACAACAGTGCTTGTCCTAAATGCGGCGACGAAGAGGAGACTGTCTCACACTTTCTCGGACAGTGCTCGGCTATTACCCAAATAAGAGGTAAATATTTCCGGGACTAATACCTCTCTGTCAATGACATATTCGACAATCAACACATCTCCACCATTGTCAACTTTGCAAACCACACTAAACGCTTAATGGTGCCAGAGGAGTTGGACCAGACCGGTGTAACATAGCGACTACTTTAACGCCGTCTTATTTCGCCTCTCTCTTCCACACTCAACCACCACTTAAGCGTTCATCTATGACACACCCCACAACACTTACCATCATCCTTGATTACACATCTTGATTCCACCGGCATCCTCCCACAGGACTGCCATACCCCAGAGGTAGTCAAAGCATCCATATGCTATCGTCTCGTGGGCAAACCAGGCCCAGCCTCTCTTTTAAAATAATAAAAAAACAAAAAAACACTTGTAATGCCTATTTATGGCTCAGCAAAATAGAAGAAAGTGATGTTTCCAGAAGCTTAGTCGCTTCAGAATGAAACCTTACAATATACTGCGTCTCTCAAAAATGAGTTCCAAACTACAAATTATTTGATGAACAAGATTCTTAAAATCTAAATAGTAAAACATAGTAATTATCTAACGTAACAGAACTATCCCAGACAACAGTGTCACCAGGGTTAAGTATACTTTACCTTGGCGACTGTTACTATAGTAACGGGTGAAGCCATATAATAGTACGCAATGAAACTACGCTCACTCTTCTAGTCAGATGTCAGACGTACTTGAACTGTAACTTACTACGTTACTATAGTAACAGTTGCTAGGTTATTAGGGTCATTTTCCAACGTTATTATGACAGACTACTCAAATGAAAAAACGGCGGCAACTATTAGATATTTTTTAGTTCGTGATATTGAGCACTCTTCTGAGATTACAAGTACTCTGAAGTTTAGTCTAAATATCCGAGCCATTTCTACTTTACTATTCACCACTGTCCGGTGTGTCCATTCCTGTCATTCAGGTAGGTACACAGAAAATAACTCCGTTAGATTTACTTATATCGCGCTCCTATCTTTAGCCCAATAGATGTTAATGGCGACATATTAAAGACCACGGTAATGACTCTATTATCTACCTCAGATACTAGTCATGATCTCATCCATCTAGTAATGACTTCATTCACACGACTTGCTTTAATTGGCATCAATAATGGTTATTTTGAAATCGGAAATCGTTGTCGACTTAGTTTAATTCTTGTAACGGATTGACACGTTGATAATGGCGATGACTAGGATCGTCTCCGACCGTATTTTCTTCAAATCAATGGTTAGA